TAGGGAGGAAGGAAAAGTTTTCTTTCCCCAAGATTTTTTTTTTTTTCCTTTTTTTTTTTTTGCGGTTCTTAGATAAAGTCCAGAAGTGCTGGAAAGAGAGGGTTCCAGCAGGGCAATAGGTAACACGAAACCTTCCCAGGTTATTTTAGACCTGGCACCTTGGTGGCACCCTGGGAAAGGTGGCCGAAAAGACCCAGCTTGTGGGCTGGCTGCTGAGAGAGAGCGGGGAATCCTGAAGAAGCAGGGGGAGAGGAAAAAAAATAAAAAAATTAAAAAAAAATTAAAAAAAAGGAGAAAAAGAAGGAGCAGAGCAGCTCTACCACTCTCCTGAAGCCACTCCAAAGCCTCTGCTCCGCTCCTTCATTGTCAGAGCGCGATGCAGGGAATATGCCCTCTGCAGTGAGGATCCAATGCGTTTGTGGCACATTCCTCCTCGCCCCCCTCCCCCAGCTCATTAGCCTCTCTGAGTGTTGGATACTGAGAGCACGTTTCTGGGGCCGTGGGCGCACTTCCACGGCATCGCGGATTTTCTCTGACTCACAAGTGAACTTCACATAATTGAGCTATTCTGTCCAGGAGTGGTGCTGGGAGGGGAGGGGTGGCACTTATTTTTAATAATCCCAGATTAGGACGTTTACTTCCAGTGTTTGCTAATGACTCCCCTCCTCCCGAGTTTACGTTGGCTGGACTGCGGGTCGCATTTCTTTTTTCGCGAAAGCTAAACTTTTAGGAAGACTAGTCTGCTGCTGCTTTGCATTCGAGGGCAATAAAATCCCGGAGCAAATGGCAAAGGCTCTTCTATGATCTTTAGCTGATGTCTATTAACTATACTTAAATTACAGACCCTCTGGAGTCACAGCCGTGGCGATAGAGTGTGTTTGTGTAAACACACCCGCATAATGCGTGCACACACACACGCACACGCGTGCAGCTCCCCGGGTCGCACGCGTGTGTGTGTGTGCGTGCGTGTGTGTGTGTGCGTGTGCGCGCACCACGCAGAGGGTAGACACCGCTCAGCGCTTCACACGCGTGCTACCTACTTCGCATCCCCTAGGTCCACCTTAAAGCCTCTTTGTATCCCGCTGACTCCACCACGCAGCACATCCGCATTTACAGCTGGTCAGGCAGGGAAAAAAAAAGGAAAAGAAGGATAAAAAAAAAAAAAAAAAAAAAAAAAGAAAAAAAAAAAAAGAAGGGAAGCATTAAGCCAGAGCCCCCCCCCCCCTCCCCGCTCCCCGTGATTGTGCCTGCAAAAGGAGGCAGAATATACTAACCGCTCTTTCTGGTCTGAAATCACTGGGCCCTGTCCAATGCGATCGTTTTGTCTTTACTTCTACAGGTACAGTATATGGAACTCATGGGAGACGAGGGAGGCAAACTTACACCAGATACCAAACGCTAGAGTTAGAGAAGGAATTTCATTTTAACAGATACTTAACCCGAAGACGACGTATTGAGATTGCAAACGCTCTCTGCCTTACTGAACGCCAGATTAAAATATGGTTTCAAAACAGGCGGATGAAATGGAAAAAGGAAAACAAATTCATAAATTCCACACAGCCCAGCAGCGAAGAAACAGAGGAAAAGTCAGGGGAGTAGAACCACGTTTAATAAACGTTACCAGGCCTTTCCTTAGCGCTTACTATTACTATTATTATTTAGCTTGTGTTCCTTCTGCTACTAAAATCCTATAGGTTTGTCACAGTCTATTAATTCCCCAACGGCTTGGTTAAAAGATGTACATTTGCAATCATCTGTGACTTTCTTTAATATATGTGGAAGTCCGAGCTTTCGAGCTACAGGCATGTGTGTATATAACTACCTTCCCAAAGCGTAGATGGCGTTGCTTAAAGTATTAGAGAAATGGCTTAGATTTTTAAATATTTGAGGTGAGCATCTGTGTGTGGGTGAGTGTCCCTAGCGTGCCTGTGTGAGAAGACATAAGCGAGTGATTTTTTTTTTTAATTTTCTTTCTTTTTTTCTTTTTTTTTTTTTTTATTACAAATGTTCATATTGTAGAAATACGAGAGATTTTAGAAAATCTTGACTTTATGTTTTTGCTAACTCCCGCTACGTCGGGCCGTCTCGTTATGCTGCGTTTGGGAGCTTATGGTCTGCAGGGGAGGAAAAAAAAAGTTTTACGCACGTATAAAATATTTAAATAGCAAAAAGAAGAAAAATCCTTTTTAAAAAATCGTTGTATAAAACCCTGGGTATAAACTTGCAGTTAAAGCGGAGAAGAATTGCAGGGAGATTTTTAAAAATGCCGCTACACTGTCTAATCTGCACTACTAGGATTAAAGTAAAAACTCGGCGTTAAACTTCAGGGGAAGCGAGGGAAGAGGTTTCAAGGCGGGCGAATTTCTGTGGTTCCCGTTGAGCTTACGCTGAGGTTTGGGTGAGCTCAGCTCTACACTGAAGGGGCTTTGAATTATGGACTACGTTTCTTGGGGCTTCGTGGGCTTGGGTCGATTTTTCTTTTCTATTTTATTTTATTTTA